CTCTGTCAACGCTTTTGGATTTTTTTTGTTCACGTTTGGTTATTTCCAGCCATGTGGATTTGCCTTAATTTGCCTATCAGGACATCAAAACCATGGTAAAGCACATGGGAGAATTTGCAGTCTCCGTGTCGCTGGCGATGGCTCAGAGCGATGCCTCCAAGAGAGAGTATCAGAACTTCGGCAGACATATGCCGCAACGTGTTGCCAACAAAAGGATCGGGAATCAGAATGGTATACCATATGCATTTATAATAACATACAGTAATATATATATGTATATAATATAGATATGTGCATTAATGCCAACTTTAAGTTAAGATGCCTTCAGCATCCTTTGACAATACTGTAGCATTGGGAATGCCATGGCACAATACTTATTGTGTTTTATGTTTGGCAACAAACATTGGGCGCCGCACGATCGTAAATATAAATACCATGCCTGTTTCAATGCTCTAGAGTTCAGGTTCCTTCTCAATGAGTATGAGTCTGGACTTCAAAATGCATCAGATGCCTTTTGGCGTATGTCAGCTGCTCATCCGGTTTGGAACTTCAAACACCTGACGCCACTGCTGCTCGGCGGAGACGTATTCTTTTTATTTGGGGCTAGAGCGTGCTGCTGCCTCCGAGGCATATGTTGTGGCCAACCAAATACTGTAGTCCAAAGTTTCAAAGTCCAGGCGTTGCTTCAATGTGCTTTCTGAGTGTCACTTGCAGTGCTTGAAGTGTTGAAACCTGGACGAACTATTATATTATATAGTGTGCCGTCCTGCCTAGGTTGACGAACCTTCCACCATGGCGGCCGCATCACTCTGTAGTGACTTGCCAGAATATGATTCACACATGCCCGTCAGAGAGAGAGAGAGAGGCAGAGAGCGAGTGCTTGCCAAACTCAAACGGAGTGGGCACTCAATGTGCTACTTTCAGTTGTTGCTGTTGTTGCCTCGTAGCTGGCTGTATCATGCCTGGATCCTTTTCTTATCCATTACATTACATCACCATTATTGCGATTCCCAGTTGGTGTTCGCAGGACATCATTCTGGTGTACGGAAGCCACTCGCCCTCCATGAGCGTGCAGGATTCTACATACAACCTGCAGGAGAAGATAGTTTCTGAGCTCCACCCAAAATCCAAAGCGCCGCCTCACTCTGGTCAAACTAGCCTTTTCGGGATTTTGTAGTCCTCTTTGGGAAGCATCAAGAACTACTCGAGAACAACCAGAGCTTGGTGAATATTAATTAATATGTGTTGCTTGCGAGTGCAACGTCATTGTTCTAGAACTGTCGTGAACATCACCAACCTGAAACTGGAAGAGGCCTAATCTCAGTGTCCCATATTAGAACTGATATCAATGGATCGCACAGTCAATCATTGCATTGAAGTATTTGAAGGAGCTATTGCCTGGCTCCCTCACAGCCTGTATCGGCATGAGCTCTTTGTTGTGGCACATTGAAGGCACGGTTTCAGCACAAGGGCACCGGCACTGGCATTGTCAGACAGTTTCGTGGTCCCTACTTTGTTGATTTATGTTTGTGTCACATGGGAGATGCTCAGGCAGAACTGCTGCATGTTGAACACTGCCAGGAGTTACGCCAGTGATTGAAGTCGCACGACTCACAGAGTTGATGTGCGGCTTGAATGAAGCGCGCGAAGCCAGTACATTGCGTCAACAGGCCGAGGCAATGATGCAAGAATGTGTTCGCACCTTTTGCTCAGTCGAAGTGGCAATGCTGAGTGCCACATGACTAGAAACGAAGTTGAAACCGCCGGCGACCCCTAGTCACCTAGTCTATATCTTGGTTGTTGCAGGTTCTAGAAGCCATGGCTTCCAATCTAATAGCACTGGCCTCCAACCTAATTAATAGTGGCCTACAACGGTTGTTGTACTCCGTTTGCTGAGGCCGGTCATCCGTGGGCACAGAGTCGCTGAATGCCATGCTGGTGGCACAACACTCGCCAACCTCTACACGGTCCATCCCCAGCAAGTCGCCAGCCACTGGGCTTTCGCATTCGGTCCCCTGAGGTCTAAAATGATCTACCGTTTCTACTAGCTTCTTGTTACTACTAGTAAGGCACTTGTTACTACTAGCGATGGTATATAATGCCGCTTACTCCAACAAGAATGATGCTTACTATGAAGAGGAGTGGGGTAAGCTTCAACCATGAGGTTTCAGACAGGTGGTGCATGTGACTTATCGAGCTGAAGTGGATGCCTCCCTGCGGATTTCTTGTTGCTCAACATTGAATACGTATGACGTATGAACACATGGTGGAAAACTGCTGCGTTTGTCATATCCAATTCCAAGCATACGCAGGATTGCTTTCTTTTTTATGTGTTTACATAATTGGGATGCACATATATGCACATCATGACGCACAGAATAGTTGTTTTCTTGGTGGTCATGTGTCATGTGTAGCTCTAGACATTTATCGTCGTGGTTGTCGTTCAAATGGCAGTGTGGCTGCCGAGGTATATAGTCGTGACTGGAAAAGTGCATCTCGCAATTGTTTCCAGCACTACGTGTTTCTGGCTAGGCTAATTATATAATTGTTTTTCTTGACGAGACAGACAGACAGACAGACAGACAGAGAGGCGCCAGGGAGTCGCAGGGAGCCACGCCATGGAGAGAGAGAGAGAGAGGGGGAGAGACATAATGAGACATCGCCCTTTTCTTTTTGAGCGTGCCTTTTGCCAAACAGCTGTTAGATAGATGATAGATTTAAAAAATCTATGAACCGGACCAGTGAACGCTGGTCAAAAAGAGTGCAGATCAAAAAGCACAAAAATCGCAGAAGGACGCCGCAAAAAATAAAACACACACACAAACAAAACGCAAAGCAACAGTCAGTTTAAACAACGCAAAGCAAAAGCAAACAAAACGGACAAAACGGATGCACATGCACAACCAAATTTCACGTACCACTTTTTTTGTGTGTTTTTTGTTACGATGTTTGCGTGTTTTGTGTATTGTTTTTTTGCGTGTTGTTTGCATTATTTTGCGTGTTCCCAAGGAATGAAAAAAACAACCCAAAAGGACAGGCAATCAAAAGGCAAATAAGAAGCAAAAAACAAAAGCAAGGACCAGAACGGTTTTGTTCGTTTTTGTTTTGCTTGTTGTTTGCCTTTTTTTTGCATTGTTTTAAGTGGACAATTGTGTGTTGTTTTGCCTTTATTTTTTTTGGCATTCCAGCGCCATTCCAGCGCTTCCCTTGGTGACTTGTTTTTGCGTTTTATGTGCATTTTTTGCAGCATTGGCTTTGTATTGTTATTGCCTTGTTTATGTGTTTGCTTTGAATGTTTTGCTGTGTCATCAGAACTAGATTTAATGTACATCATAAAATGAAACGATATCATATCATTTAACCCGGCAAATCTGGGAACATTGCCAATCATTGCGCAAGCAGAACAACAAGTTGATGTAAGAATTAAGGGCATATCTAGGCCGCCTTGGTTGTTCCACAGGAAGACTTTGAAGTCCAATATCCGAGGCAGCCAAAAGCAAGCCTCGGCCGCTCTTGATGAGAGCCAGTGGTGGTTCCCTGCAGTTGGGTGGCATGAGCTCAACGGCATGAACATCTAGGCCACCGCAGGGCGATCATGGAGAGAGCATGAGAAGAGACAGACAGGTGAACATTAGAATATAATTACAGCAGACTCAACAAACAGCTAAACTTTGCTCCTTGCAAGCGAGAGGCAAAGCTACCAAGATGAGCCTTTGATGAAGGCAATGCCCTTTTAGCAGGCCAAGAGATTCGGCTGATGCTGGCTTGAATGCCCACATTGTTTTTTCACGAGTTGGGGTTAAGTTTCGCTCTTGCAACCGTTTGTGGAGTGGCATGACATGGCTGATTTCCTGGGATTGAACTCAGGTAGGGTAGAAGTCTTACCCATCCAGCTGCCGAAGGCAGGATGGATGTCTGGTGAATTTCCGAGGAGTGTGACAGGACACCAAAAAGAAAGAGCCATGCGACACACGATTCAGCCCGAGTTGGCATGTTGAATCGTAGAAGGCGTTTGAGACTCACGTCATATCCAAACAGACGCTGGGTTGGGCAGGACGGAACTTGTTGTGAATTGAACAGCATTTTCATCATCTACAAAACAAATTCTGCTAGCCAGCTTGCAAGTGATAAAGACCTGATGGCGGCTGCTGCTGCTGCTGCTGCTGTGGTACCTGATTCTTTCCTCCTCTCCGAAAGCAGCATAATGGGCTGGGTTGCAAGTGGTCTTGGTTGGGAACAAGGATACGAAAACTTAGAGAAAATATTCGTGCGTTAGGTTGGACCCCATCGCTATCAGGTTGGAGGCCATCGCTATTAGGTTGGAGGCCATCGCTATTGGGTTGGAGGCCATAGCTATATATCGCTATTAGGTTGCGCTGTTGTAAGCATTTGTTTGGACAAGTTTACCTGTAGATGTTTCACGGGAAGTGACTCCTTTGAGACGCTGAGATGTGCAGCTACAGCAAGCAGCCGAGGATCGTCGAAGCCTTCTTGTGCCAGTGCCTGTGACCTCCGCATAGGCTATAGGGCTTCCACAACCATGGTTTTCTTCAAGAACCATTGGAGGTTGCAGGGGAAAAAGGAGAGGAGAGTGCGCGACAGCAACAGCAAGACTCTGGCAGAGAGGCTTTCAGCGAGTGACAGGGAGTCAGAGAGAGAACTTGTTCTGGCTTGACCATGGCTCAGCAGAGTCAGTCATGCATCCCCCGGTCTCTGGCAGTGGCAGCATTGGCTGCCAATTCTCCCAGAAAGCAAGTTGCCGAAAACAGATCATCCTCATGATTCGACATATGTTTCGATGCGTCAAGGCAAATGATAAGCTACTTGTTTGTGTGCAGGGTCCAGGTCCATGCTCTATATTTCATGCGTTTCATCTGTGAGGTGTTTGCCTTTGGGGCACGGCACATGCGCTTTTGTCCTTTTGGTGGGTTTAGCTGGAAATGCTTTAATGCAGGGACACCGGGTGTTTTTATCAATGTCATGGACACAGACCCATGCAGGCGCACAACAAGCCCAAGGTGCTTGGATTGACCCAGCGATTGTGTGGGAAAAACGGGGGACAATGAAAGGAGGGATCTTGCAAACAAGTTTTCAGACAAACAAGAAAGACTAACAAGACATTTAAACCGACCTGATTTTCATAGTCATGATGCTGGCATTTGTACAGGTAACATGCAAACCACATCAAATTGTCAGATGTATTTCTTAGAGGACGCTATGGGTAACAAAGAAGCTACTAGGGGCTCCTGGCCTCACTACTAGGAGCAAGAACGCTACTAGGAGCAAAGGGCATCGCTACTAGTAACAAGGACGCTATTAGTAACACATTTGAGCTGAGCAGTAAATCTTTATATAGGGCCACCATGGCGACCTGGTGCCCACCTTTGACAGACACCCCAGCTGTGGGCCCGTGCCTATGCCCCTTTTCTAGTCACTGTCCTTCTGCTCAGGCCAAAGATGCGATGGTGCAAAGGGCGCGCAAAGGGGTCATGCAGCAGGCAGGATTCATCATTGCAAGATGTATATTCAACGAACAGATGTCTTTCAGAACATTTTGTTGCAATGCTATTTGAGCAGCCTCGGGTTTTTGTACACCCTGCGCCCCGTATATACTATATGACTATATGACTATGACTATATGTATAGCAAAACCCCATTGTTGAAGACATCTTAACGCTTGCCGAAACCTCCGCAGATCTTCGGCTTCAGGTGGGTTTGTTGGTTGATTCGACATCAAACCAAAGAAGAATCAGCTTGGAAGGGCAAGAACAAACATGCCAACATGCCGAGACTATGAAATGACACACAAATCATCAACATGTGTCATTAAATTTCATACAATTTCTCCTTTCCCACAGCCGTTGATAGCCATGGAATCACCCAAGTACACCGTTCAGGTCCTCCAGCTTTCAGGAGCTTCCTGCAGGATTTCATTGCCGGAATCCGCTTTGGTCGCCAAGCACCAATTGGCCGAGACTTGATTTGCCGAGCTTGCAACAAAGGTGATCAAACAGCTGCAAACGGCAAGTACCGGCTTTTCCACCTTTAGAATGGTCCCTCCTCCTGACAACGAGAGCTGCTGCCCCTTCATAAGAATGATACTGTAATTGGTTGGTTGTTGAGAGTCAGAGTATACGTGACCTGTGAGCCTTCCTCGAAACATCTCAAACCCTGCCGAAACGAAGGGCCTTCCCTCTGCGGTTGCTGCAAAACCTTCACAACAACATTGGTTCCTCAGTTGAAGAAACAATTTTGATGATTGGCAGATATTGGCAGGGGCCCTTGCAAACCGCTTCAACCCTGAAAGCCAGCTAGTAAGTATACTTTGTTCAACTTGCTTGCGAACTGACATCGGCAACTGAAAAGCTGACAAGTCAAAGAGTTGCAGCTGGCGCCCGAGGTCAGTGACATCCTGCTTGAGATGAAGCGTCAGACCGGCCACCGGATGAGACGCCGGTTGCTGTTTCAAGGCCGAGTGCTAGGGGATCAAGAGACTTTGATGAGCTTGGCGATTCCAGGCGAATTGGAAATGCAGCTGATTTGCCACCCTTACCATGCTGAGCGTTTGCAAGATAGTCAGATGACTCAGATGACTCAGACGTTTCACTTCACCTTGTGTGGTGAACATCAGGTCGGAAAGTCGAGCTTGCTGTGGAGATATGCGGAGAATGTCTTTCGGGAGGATTTCACACACACGGCAGGCCACAATTTCAAGACGATTTCCTTGATGGCGGAGGACACTCCAGTGAAGCTGTTTTTATGGGATTGGCCAACTGGTGAAGAGCGATTTAGGCCTGCTCCTTCTTTGTTCTTTCGGCAGAAGACTGCAGTGATGCTCGTGGTTGACCTTACCAATCCCGCATGCCTAGAAGATGTTGAACACTGGCTTTCAATGATGAAGCCCCATTCCATTCGAACGAAGTTGCTAGTTGGAAACAAGGCAGATTTGAATTCAGAGCGCAGGGTTCAGTACGATGATGCAGAACGCTTTGCCACTGACCGGGGTATGTATTACTTCGAGACCTCTGCAAAAGAGGGGACCGGTGTGGCAGAAGCGATCGAATTTGCAGTTTTTGATGCTTTGGAGAAAACGCCTAAGCGGGTGAAACCAACTCCGCTGCCGCACACACAATCCAAACCCTCCTGCTACGTGCAGTGAGGCAATGCTGTGGAGAGAAAAGGCCTCAAGATCCTTAAGCGTGGTTAGCGCTCTTTTGCCTCCTTGTGCATGTGCAGGAAGGACCCAGTGACTGACCCATGTGAAGCACACGCTCCTTCCATGTTTGCGCATGTCTGGTAGCTGTTGGCTCATGTTGGCTCTACAGCCACCAAGGAGGCATTCATTAGGATGCATGGACTCACTCGCCCTACTTGACCTGCAAATCATCATGTTCCCTTTCCTATCATCCATGGTCATGCCTGCCATTTCCATTCTTTTCCCGTCGCTTGAACGTCCTTGTCGTTCCATGAGTCGAACAGATGGGTGACTTCCACGTGCGGATTCTTCAGCTCTCCGGCACCGTTTTGGCGGAGTTGAGGCTGCCAGCGACTGCTCATGTACACGACATCCTGCGAGAATTGGTGAGCGACCGCGATGGTGCGCAGAGAGAGCGGAGGCACATGAAGCGCAATTTGGCTTACATTTGCTTTGCCTTGCAAGAAGCTACTAGTAACAAGATGTAACAAAGGGGCATGGCTACTAGTAGCTAGAAGTTAGAAGCTAATATATATAGTACTACAGTAACAGCGCAACACTTTTTTTGGCCCTCCCTCCTGCTTGCCACATTTTGTCATATGTTGGAGCGCCCCCTCAGTGCACACTTTTCTCACCCACATTGATGAAATAACGTCCTTCCACTCCAGGCAAGCTCTTGTACCAGGGTCGGGTGTTGGAGGAGCTGGATTCGCTGGCGAGTTTGGGTCAGCAAGAGCTGGAGTTTCAGTTGATGCTGCAAGCTCAACACGTGCAATTTTGCTATGGAAGTGCATCCGTCGAGACCTTCAATGGACTCAAGGAATGCAAGAGAATGCATTTTGCTGTTTGGGGACCTCCACTGGCTGGCAAGACCAGCTTGATACAGAGATGTAGCGAGAATATTTTCAATGTCCAGTACCATACGGTAATTGGCATTGACTTCAAGAAGGCCCGCGTGTTTGTTGACCACAGCCCAATGGAAATCTTCCTGTGGGACGCGCCTGCTGGGAAAGAGCGGTTTCAAGTTATGCAAGCAGCGCATTTACGGGGCAAAGTGGCAGTCCTCTTGGTGATCGACCTGGCAAGTGACGAGCCCTTCTGGAAGATGGACCACTTTATAAATAGAATCGAGGAAGCCTCCATTGTGACAAAGCTTATGTTGGGCAACAAGCTCGACTTAGAGGCTGAAAGAAAACTCTCCCGGGAAGATGCTGAACGATTTGCTGCTGACCGGGGCTTTCATTACTTTGAAACATCAGCGAAAGACGGCAGTGGCATCGAGGACTGTGTTCAGGGGTGAGCCGGGAGGCTTGTTACTTGAGCCATGGTATTGAGAGTCATGCAGCAGTTGATTCCATCGTTCTGCTCTAAAGTCCGACGGAGATGCGCCATTAGTTTGGAAAGGGATGCGAAGGGTTTTGAGAGAGTAGACAGCCCAGATGGGGTGCAAGTTTCTGCATGTCCCTGTAAGGAGGCGTTCACTTTTGCTATCTTGGAGGTTTTGGAATGTGAGGAGCGGCAACGCTTGTTGCCTCCCCCAGTCGCCCCACAGAGGCAGCCAGGAAAGCTGTGTTGCATCCAATAATTGAGCAGATCAGATCACAAAAAGGTGCTAGCCAGCGCAGATCAGCGCAGAGTCGGAATGGTTTAGGATTGCAGTGAGAACTGCTCACTTCAAATTGTGCATTCTTGGAGAATTGCTTGCTACAGAAGGCTTCCGCTTTGGAGGGGCAATGGCCAAGGTGGGCTTGAAACGTCCTGACATTTCAAGTGTCATTAAGGACTGATGTGATGTATTGTGGTTCTCAGTCTCAGGCACCAGCTCCCACCTTAGCTGGGCCAGAAGCAGAAGTGAGAGCATCTTTAGAGGCCTGGCCTCAGAGGTATTGGTATCATTCAGCGTCATTCACATGTGGGCTGGGACTGCTGGGATGTGCAACATTCGCGAAAGATTCGCGATGAGGTTCGCGAAAGTATATGTTTTGTCCGCGAAAGATTTATCGAAGGTCGTCGCTTTCATTGTTTTCCTTTCTACCGGACTGACAAAGAATAGAAACGCAATGCAATCCTCCGGCAGAGCCAGTGGGCGGAAGTGTCCCCATATGTCACAGACTAACGAACTGAAGCCTCAACATTTCCGTGCCCGGGGAAAGCGCCAGTGAAATTCCGCGAAAGATCCGCGAAAGTTTCGCGAATGTGCCGCTAAAGTCTAGGTTCCCAGCTTGAGGCCCCCCAACATTCCCCAAGCTGCATCACCCTGTGTTGGTAGCTGACACGAGGATTGGGTTGAGTTGTGCCTGACTCTATTTGGCACAATTGTCGCACAGATGCTGCAAGTGACCCTGAGTAGCTGTGGAAACGTTCAACCATCTACTCGGGTCATGCTGCAAGATGTCTCTCCCTATTTTGTGATACTATGACATGTTCCGGCTCATGTTGGTTAGACATGGTTGTAGGACCATGCTTCGCGATGAGGCCGCGAAAGATCCGCGAAAAATATCTTTTTTTTCCGCGACGAATGGCCTTTCCAGGATGAAAGAATATTGGTCAACCACCATATATATATAATATATATATATTGGGAGTTGTTGGTGACGAAGACCTTGGCATCCATGTGTTTGCACAATTTTGCAAATACGGTGGAGTGATGCGGTTGTGGGGCTGCCAATAATGCATGAATCTGATTGCGCGGTTCCCGCAACATCGTTCAAGCAATGAGTGCTTGGACTCTAGGGGGGCAACACAAAGACAGGGAAAAGACAGGGAAGTGTCTTATGGGCCTCCTGCAGGCTCTCAACAATCCATACATATCAATTCCAAGTTGGCTGAATATTGCAACCCAATCGTTCCTGCAAGGCTGCTCAAAGCTCTGGTGGTGCTGATGGTGGACGTGAAGGGCCCAGTTGTGGAATCAACTGCCGTCAGGAAACCTCGCCAGAGTCACAGTGTCAGATGCAAATCCCCAAGGTCAAGCACTCAAGCGGCTGCTCCTCCGCTACATTCCTAGACATTTGCGGTTCTTTTTTGACGTGGAAGTACGAAAATGATCTACGTGGAACTGGAGGATAGTGCACTCGTCGACTGGTCGATTTGTTTGCGTGTAGGTTGTGTTGGCAAATGTGACAAGCATCTTGATTGAAACTCAAATCCGGCGTCGCACATCATGGAACGCTCGCACATCATGGAACACACCTTGAACCGGCCCAAACAAATGTGGGAACACGACTGGCTCCAGCATAAACCTTAGATCACAGCTACAGTGGCGGTTTGGCCGACTTTGGGTCACCATTTGGGCCTGGCACGGCCTGAAGCTATACCGCCATTCAGTTATCTATATAGTTATGATTGACATGTTATACAACTGTTTTCGACTGCAGCTAGATTCGGCTTCTGAGAATGTTTGGAAGGCACCTATATATTGACCCCTACACCACCGATTTCCAATGATCCAAGGAGATTTGGCTGCGTGGCCATGTAACAACCCTTTGCTTGGATAAGTCGGAGCAGTCATATTCTTGAGGCCAAAAATTCGGGACCACCGTAGTTGTGCGATATAATTTCTCAAAAGACGGCAGCTTCGTGACAACGACAACACCTGAGATTGTAAGAAGAGCATGTAACTTGGCAAAGATAAGTTGTTGGAAGGCTGGACTCTTCAAGCAAAAAAGCCGGTCAAGAAGAGGCCCTGGCATGCCAGAATGCCTGTTTTCTCAACAACTACGGGACCCGTTCCCGTTCCCAAACTCGCATAAGTTTGCTCAGCTCTACGACCCGATCACACCTGAAAATGAGACCTTCAACAAGAGGGTCTGTGGACGCCACACCGCATACAGCTGCTGAGCGGCAAGCACCCATTTAGAAAGCCTTTTCGAGCTGGCTCGCAGAATTTGAGATCCGAACCTGACTTTGATGGAATGTCCTGCCGTTTGTCCTCTAATTAGTCATAGTTGATGACTGTTCAATGCGACATAATCGAGCAGACATGCATCAATGGGTGGGAAACAGGAGCATTGCTGCATTGCCAAAATGAAAGGTTTGAAAACAGACAATGTGTGCTAGTGGACCTTTCTTTGCCTAGGCTGGCACCCCGACAAAGCACAGCAAGGGGAGAGCCCTGAGGCTAGAAGCCAGCATAGAGGGAGAGAAAGACGGGCCGTGTAGGGCAATGTGCACAAAGCTTAGACATTCTTTGAGTCTTGAGATGTCTTGAGTATTGAGCAGTTGGCAACGATGTTTTCCTGTTCATGGGATTGTACTTCACAGCCTGATATAACTATGCATATATACAATTCATTATGCTTCCTACAGCTGGAAGCTTGTGGGGTTCTTATTGGCATTGATCGCAACACAGCAAGTGGCACTTGCAGGCCAAGGCTGCCCAGGCTGAAGCGACCCGCGTGCCCCGGCCTCAGCTGTGGACCGTCTCCAGCCTTCTTTCTAATGAATCAAGTCAGTTGTTTTTTGATGCACGTTGGACAAAAGGGTCACCCAGACCAGATGCAAATGTTATATTGTGCTTTGAGATCCTGATAGGCTCCGATTCATTCTGCAAGAGCGTGAGAGGTTCGCTGCCTGGAATGGAGGGTTAAGCTGCTTTTAAATATGCAAATGTGTTCAAGTGTACATCAGGAGCTCTCGTGCTGGCGGTTTAGCGATTCAAGTACATTTATGGAAGTCAGCCACCTGAAGAATTGAAGAGCCCACTTTGCAGGTCACATGTCACAGCAACGTAACAGTGAATAGTGGTTCATGTTTTTTCAGTGTTCTCAGTCAACAGTCCTCCAGGCTTCCTGGGCCATGTGTAAATGGACACCCCCCTGAATCCTTCTCAGGCTCGGACTTTGATGAGGCTATGAAGGTTTGGTTGGGGTTGCGGCCAGCTAAGAAAATGCATTACTATCATATTGCTTTGTATGCTGCTATTTCTACTCGATTCTTATTGTCTATTGTATATGTTTATATTAAGGTCCAACTTCAACTTAGTGCTTCGAGAACTTCACTGTACCTTTCATTACAGCCTTCAAATATCAACGTTCAGACCCGCCAGCCAGGCCTGACAGTATCCAGCCACCTTCCTGAGATGTTTATACCAAGCCCTTGCACCGAAAGAATACAAGTAATGACAAGTATCATGGTTCTCCAACATGATGCAGATTCAAGCCTCAAAAAGTAATGACGGTTACGGGCAGAATGATGATGCCAAGAATGAAGCGACTCCGTAGGAGCTGTGAATTCACTGCATGTGTGAGCTGTTGGCGCTGTGTGAGCTAGGTAGTTGACCAAAAGTCACACCTTTTGGCATGTTTCAGTTCAAGAATGTCAGGGTTTTGACGAGCATGAGAGGCATGCCATGCACACTATCTGTTCCATGTGGCTGGTGAGGCGGACTTTGCAGGAGTATATGGATAATATATAGATCATCTAAAGGCATTTGATGGCAGACCGGCAACTCGTGCTGATGTCAACCCAATGTCGCTTGGTCATGATGGCAGAGACGACACCCGCTCATTGTCCATTTGACCACGCAGCGCTTGGCTCAACCTTGTTCGGGCTGAGCATCGCACAGCCCTTGCCTCAGTTCCGGCAATTCCCACTGATCCAACCTCGGGGTGGCAAACTGCTTGGGAATCGGTAAGGCACAGGGAAAGACATGTTCATTGGTGCACATTTCGTTGACATGCTTCTGCAGAAAAGCACCCCATGTATTAATGGCTGTTCCTTTGAGTGGCGCCGCGCGATACCTTAAACAAAGTTGCATGGTGGTGCTTCTCTGCAATCCGGCTCAGGAAGCGGAGGAAAAAATCCAGCAAAGCCTATTCATGCCAATCGTATGTAGACTCTAGACTCAGCCGCACTCTCGTGGTTCAATGACTTGAAGTGCAGCAAGTGGAAGCAGCATAATAAAATGTATCAATCAAGTGGACTTCATTTCTTGCGTTAGGCCGCTGCTAGGACACAAGCAATTCCAGACTATATATATATATATCAGATTAGCATAAAGCCTTTTAACGTCAAATTATGCTGACAAGTGATAGCTCTGTTGTGCTGATGGCTGCGCACTTGGCCAGACTGCTCCTTTCTGCTTCCTTGACAGCACTTTTGCACTTTGGAGATTGGCGTGCGGATTGGCACGCCACTGGCTGAAGCTAAGGCTGTGTTGCTGACAGCCGATGCGGGCAACTTCAGTGGAATCCTTAAAGTGACGCGTGTGCTGCTCCTGACGGGCCAATTCTGTGACTGGGTGAGGCCAGAACATCTCTTTCCAGGACCTCCATGGCAAGCTGAATTATCTCAGACTTCGGCCGGGACCCCAATGATTGTGCAGTTTCCTATCGGAAGAAATGCGCTTGCAGAATGTTGCAGGCCTTTTCATTTTCCTCACTGTGGCACAGGAATGGCAGTCTTCAATGGTGCGCCGAGAAGCGCTGCCATCAGCCAAAGTCTCTCCAGTTGGACTTTAATAGTAGCCTAGAAGGCAGGTCCCGAAACGAAGTGACCGGTCTAACGCATGAGAATTGGTGTGCTCAATCTTCCGGGACTGCTAGAACCACGTGGGCCCGTCCAAGGTCCAAATCCAGGTTCAATTCCTGACGATATGCTTCAAATTGTCCTGTTGGAAAGGGGCCTGTGAGTTCTTTGGCTTTCCCGCCGTTTTTTTTGTGATCATTCTTCAATTCCTAATTTTCCTGATCCCATAGCCTAGCCCTTGCCAGAAGGATCAAAAGCTTCGCACTTGAAGAGGAGTCAGCAACCTTTGAACATGTTTGAACATCTTAAAACTGAAAGGACCATATGTTCACCCAGAGAGCTAGACACTATAGATGAAAGTGTTACAGTACAAGTACTATAATGTACTATATATTTGTTTCTATGTGTTATTATGTTTTTGGATATTCGAAGAAGTTTTATATAGGCACGTGTAGTTTTCTTATAGACCTTCCATGTGCCTCCTTATCCCTCAAGAACTTGGTCAGGACTTTGGGCTGCAAAGGCATCAAATGAGGTAAAACTATAGTGAGCGTATCAATCTTCCAAGACCCAATGAGAAGTTAAACTTATGATATACCCATGCCAGAGTTATTGATCAGCATATGACACTACGACTTTCCTGCAAAAGGTTGGACCAAGAAATGTTGAAAGGGAGTAATATGAGCTTATCACTATGACTGCAGATTGTAGGGCCTTTGTTGCAGTGCTAATGTTTGGCAACTGCAGCACGATTGTCGCATTGCAATTGGTTTGCCTGTAGGCGACGCTGCAGGTTGCAAGTACCACGTGATTGGGCAATTGCCAGACAGGTCGGATTGTGCTGTTTTCCAATGTCTTGATTATGACACACCCCATACGAGATAGGATTTGCTCAGTCAAGGTTGACCGTTTTGAAGCCCAGTGTGGCTAAGCCTTCAGATTTTGAACCACCTTGGGCTATCAGTGTTTCTCAAATTTTGAGCCTACCGACCTTCCGCCAAGAACAACATCCAGACCTTCAGCCACCAAGCTGGACCTGACGGCCATGCACCTTGGACAAGCAAGGTGCTCCACATGTGTTGCCAACATTACGTCCCACATGGGGTGGCAAGAGCATGACTGGACCACTGGCATTCTGAAGGCAACAGTCAATGTCCGTTTGTTCCCAATACCTTTCTGAGGCCTCCGCACATAGGGCCTGGGCCCCTAATCTTGCGCGATGGCATGATGGCGCAACCAGCGACGAAACCCTTGGTGAAGAGCTTGATCCCAACTCAGGCCTGACATATGAGCAAGCTACCACATCACGTCCTTTGCGTTGTAGAAACAAATGGCATCGTACTTCGCTGGACATGTTGGGTTTAATCGCAGTTGCATTGCTAGGTATGTTCAACCACGCCAGCACTCACCAGGTGCAGTTGTCAGCAAATTTCCTTGGGCCGCTGCAACGGGATCTTGTGAGAGAAATGCAGATGATGGCGAAGCAGGTGCGAGCGTTCCTGGATACACTTATGTAACCCTTCCAGGCCTTATTGGTCCTTAGTCCTTATATGTCCTTCGTGATGGGTGAGCCCTCATCAATGCTCCTCATGAAAGAGTTGCCGCTAGTGTTCGGCCAACATCCTGAAATAAGGACTGGCAAGTCTGGCACGAGTGCTTGCAGTGCCGGCACAGATGTTTGGGAAGAGACTGTCATAGGGCTTCCAACCTGAGCCCCATTGGCACTGTCAGGTTGTACATGGAATGCTGCAAATAGCTGCAAATCATGCGAGTGCAAGTCACAAATGATAGCCGATCTGATAGCCTTCAACTAAATAATGCAACACAGCCGGGTCCAAAGTCCTGACACGATTATTACGATGCAGGCGGGTGTGCCGATTTCTGGAAGTGCACTGGATGAGCTGAGTGCTCCCGCTGCTGGTGAGGTAGGCACAGATGAAGGACTTTGATACTTGTAGAACTGATGGTGTAGTGTACTGAAGGGCCAAGAGTCGAGTCTAAGAGCAGCAATGACGCGCGGCGCGACGTCTTGTTTGTCTCCGAAGAAGGCAGCTGCTTTCAAGTTGCAACTGGAGGACTATCCTTTCCTGTGCCACTTCAGCCAACTGGCAACATATTCATTGCTCCTCAGTTCGCACAGTTTGGGGAACAACGGAACTCTATCACGAGACATTGTAGCTAGAGCGCCTGTAACCTGAGCATAAACCCCGAGAATGTCCATCCGCCGATTACGGTAGTAGGCACTACCGGCACAAATCATTCCAAGTCCATCATGTGGCTGAGGTCTTGAATTGGACAAATGCCACCGAGCCCTGTGTGGCCGTGGTGCCACATCCAGAGGATTGCAGCACTTGTTCCTTTGGCCCAGACAGCTGTCGTGGGGGCCCTGGTGGTAATGGCAGCAAACTAAACTTGCTTGACAAAACATGCCACCACAAACACAGTAATATCATGTAATATCCTTGTGTTAGCAAGACTTACCGTAGCAGACTTAGCGCGCTTTGCGCGCATCCCTATACCTGTGCGGTCCCATGCTGTTGCAATGGACAAGACTAAGACCAGACTTGGAAATCAGTTTCCAGTCTAAGCGCGGCTGGAAGCGCCATTCCTCCAAGGAGCTAATTCACGCTTGGAGGGCCCGGACAAGGAGATTCCGCAGAACCCAAGGGGTTAAACGCAAAGGCTGACATGATATGTCATGGAAGAGACCTGGAAGATCATGGGAAAAGTGGCAGATTCTGCCTGATATGCCCCGCATTGATAGGAGACCCTGCTTTCTTATCAGCTTCCACGTCAGCCCTTTATGTTGACCGACGACCTGAATGCACGGCACGAGCATTCGGTTTGCATCAGGGAGGCTAATGGCACTGCGCTTGGGCCTGGAACAACCTTTGCCAGAGCACATCTATATAGTAGAGCTGCGTTTGGGGACACGTCACAGCGGTGATCTCGTTGTGTGTGTGTGTGGAGTGGGTTTGACAAGCTTAGGAAATGATCGTTTTGACACTTCAACTGATGCTCCATTCATGTTGTCAAACTCAGGTGCCGTCCCTTCGGTTGCTGGGGCGGATTGCCTACTACAGGAAGCCACAAGTAAGCTTCATCAAGTGCCTTGGCGGCACGCATGTTTGTAAGCGTTCCACAGAGATTCCTTCCTAGATCTATTTGCTCCAGAGCGTGCCACACTAGGAACATTTTGATCATTGGCGTTCGGACCTTCATCAACCCGGGCTGGCACGAAGAGATACATTTGCAGTGCACCAACTGCTCAGCAGCAAGCCAGGTCGGGCTGCATCACTTCTGAAAAGATTGAAAAGTTAGCTCACCAGTCCAAGTCGGAGGAAAACAGTCCAACTTCATTGTTTTGGGAAGTTCGTTGAGGAAGTCCTGACCATTTTTCCAATACCAGGTGGTGGTTCAGCCTATCTCCTATGACTCGCGCTGCCGCAGCGTCACGCAGCAGATGCTGGCAGCTCTGGCAGTTGCCAACCGTCACGAGGAGGCATCTTGTTTGCCCGTATGGGTTTCATTCTGCAGACGAGCACGGTCCCTTGTCCTGTGTACCCCGAACATTGGGTGCTGCATGTTTAGTTGAGTGGGTGGAATATCTTTGGAGCTGGGCACCTGACACCTTCGACATCCTTCGAAACCACAAGGATCACCATTGGTGAGCCCACGGTTGGCAGGACATGTTGTTGTTGCTTTGCGACGGTGAGCTCAACTGCGAGCCCACATGCATTGTGCAATTGTGCAACACAGGTATGAGTCGACATGAAGCTTTTTTCATCCACGGCCCCAGCCCAATAGCATCCAATAGCTATCTTTGATACTCATGGAGAAGACTAACTCTAGGACTCTAGGCCAATCCCAATCTTTGGAGCCGCGTTTGACGCGCAGATGCCAGCTTCAGTGGACATATCGGAATTGCGTGACTGGACTCAATCAGAGCTTGTGAAGTGCCATTGCTTGATGTTCATGATGTTCATACGTAGACGGTAGTCCCGGTTGCCCACAGGTTTTGGCCAGTGATGCAAAGAGGAGTCGTTCGATGGTCATGTTTCCGCAATGATTTCCTCTCCTTGGCATCACAGAGTCACACCAGGCCTGACAATGCCCACTGAACAATTATGAAACTTGATGTGCAGGGTGAACAGGCTCTTTGTCTCTCTCTCTCTCTCTCTTTGCAAGTCTTCACCTTGCGTAGGCAAGGGTTTTTAGGGGTCGATGCAGACTGGTAGACACAAGGTGCGTTGTAGGCTCAAAAGGACCCGTTCCTCTACGCACATCTGAGGCAACAGTCAGATGGAGGAAGCTGCACAGCATGGTGACCTTCGCTGCACTGAGTTCCTTTTTAAATCTTGTGTTCACTCCGCTGATGGTCGAGTAGTGATTGATGCCTGACATGATGGCACATAGGCCAAAACAAGGAAGTGACAGATACTACGTAGCAAACATAGTGTCAGAGGGTTAGGGGAACATGTCCCAAACAGAACCGGACCGGCAGGTTGGACATCTATGCAGTTATCCACATTTGACATTGTGGACGCAGTAGCATTGACCCATGGCCCATGATGCACGCATTTGATGGATGAGGCACGACGGCCGGAATCAATTGTCCAGTGCCTTCATCCGGTCCATGCTCTGGTTACGCCGACGGAGCATTCGCGGTGGGCTACCGGAAGGCCTGGTGTGTCCTATGCTCTTAGGATCTCGAAGGCTTTGAACATCTTGAACAGTGGACACTCAAAAGCACGCACTTTTTGGTTCCCGAGTCCACTGACTATGATGACACATCGTGGCCATCTCAGTGAGGTTGTCCTGCTTGTAAAATCTTTGCAATTATATGGCTGTGCGGGTTCAGATGAATTACTCATTCATGTCATTCTTGTTCCTAGTAGCTTCTTGCTCCTAGTAGTAAGGCCAGGAGCCCCTAGTAGCGTCCTTGTTCCTAGTAGCGATGCCCTTGTTCCTAAATGAAGTACTCATGTCATTCTTTGTGCTGCAATTATTCCACGAAAGGAGAGTTTGGAGGGTCACGCAGATGTCACGGTCACGTCGCGGGTGCTGGGCGCCAATTGCAAACGGTGCAAATGCCACCTGTTGGCTAAGGCACGCCACATTCATTCTGGACAGCTCCAGAAGGCCTAAATGACCATCAGATAGCGATGGAAAGTCTTGATGATAGTCAAGTTCTCAAGGTGACCAGCAGAACTTAGCTTAGCGCCATTGCCAGATGGAGTGATTCAATGTTTGGGTCACGTCCCCTTGCCACACAAGCGCAACATTGCTCCTCCTGGCCCGTTTGTATAACTTCATGATGCTTCCATGAATTCAAGGGGTTCAAAATCTTCCAAGTGCTAAGACAGCAGGTTAACTGGTCACGAGAAGCAGATCTTCTTCCACCATAGGAGCGCAATTTGCCTCTATCCAGGAGCGCTTGAGAAGCAGATTTAGAATATTTGTGTAGCTCAGACTCAAGCTTTTCTGATGGGCCTTGTTAAGGAATGTTAAGGTTAGGCAGATCCAGAAGCTAAAAAGATGGAACCCACGAACCCGAATGCAAACACACGCCGAACACAAACGTCCAAATTGCTCGACACTCTTGTAAGACACTCTTGTAGGCGGTGCTCTTGTTGGACACTTTTGTATGAGACACTCTTGTTGGACACTGTCAAACAGTCACTCGTGGGGCACTCTTGTGGAACACTCTTGTAGTCTTGTCAGACGCCCTTGCGAGACTTCCTCCAAAAGTCACGCGTCCAGTCTCCAAAACGAGCGCTTGGTACGAGACTTCCTCCAAAAGTCAACCGTCAACTCTCCAAAGCGAGCGCTTCGTACGAGAGATCCTTCAAACCTTCAAAAGTGAAGCGGGAACTTTCATCAAAGCAAACACACAGCCTGCAGCCCTGTCAAGCAGTTCCGCAATCCCAGCCCCTCAAAACAGCAACTGCGGACAGACCAATCGCAACGTTACAGCAACATTGACCTCCACCAAACATCGCAACCTCACGATTCCCTGTGCCGGCCACCCACAAATTCGACTTCGATACCTCCAACACGCACAAAGTACTGCACCTGCCAAGAAAAGTGACGATATGACATGTTCATACGTGTCAATCATCAATCATGCATGTTCATGTGTTCAGCAAAATTTACACCACACCACACGTTTGGAATGATTTCAGCACAGTCTGAGCACACTCCCATTCACCAACATCGCCATTTTGGCTTGAGACTTGTGGCAAAAATCGCATTGAAGCAACGGCCTGAAACGCAAGTCTCAATGTCACAGCCATATCCAACACCTCAAAAACACAGGCCTTAAACGCAAATCTCAATCTCGTGGCAAAGAAGACTGAGGATCGCACAAATCGCTGCACCTGCGGTGCGCAGTCATATCATCCTCCACACTTCAACCCGTTACTATACGTTTCCACACGTTTCTGCGCTTTGCCGCACAAACCTGGCAGGTGAGTCCTGCCCCCATCCAAAAGCTTTGCCTGATGCCAGCGCCATAGCGACCTACCGCGAACGGCTGCGAACACCTCACAACGGTTACGAACGCAACGCATCGCGACCAAGACTCCTTATACCCCCAGACCCCATAGTTAAACGAGAAACATTCGCTACGCATTCGGGAAAACCATGTGCAAACCCAGAGATTTTGAATTGTCCGGGATCACATGATTGGAGCCGAAACAAATTTTTGACTAACCCATGCTACATTGAAGGAGGGCCAGCAGCGCATGGCTGGTTGGTGGGCTTCGCAGTGGTCCACATGCCCTTCGACTGAAACAGGCATGCGCCCACCTTTTTCTGATACCGCCCAGTGCCGATGGATTTGTCTCTTGCTTCCCTCTTGAAAGTTTGCCAAGAGCTTTGGGTGGAGTCTCCGAGGACTCGGCGAGTGCTTGCTTTTTGATTTGATTTTGCGCGGGCTGAGGAACGTCTTAGATATGCAGGCAGGAGGACTTTGGGAAAGTTGCAAGGTTTGAACGAGCCTTGTATAGCATGTTTGGGCAACCTGGTGATCGAGCAACTTGGTGATCGCGCCGCGCCCGCAAGCTGTCAGCACCCCCCTAGGTTCAGACACTATAAAATGTCGATGTCGTCCCCTTACAAAATGTTTTCCCACGATACATTTTATAGGCCCAAACTGGAGGGCTGGCAATCATAAAGCAGCAGTTTTGGAGCACGAGGTCAACACAATTTACAACAGGTCTGTTCTTTAAGCTGTCGATCATATCAGGGGGTCAATACATGTTGTAAAACACCATTTCTGAAGCAGACACAAGATTTGGTTTGCTTATTTTGCGATTCAACACATTTTATAAGCTACACCGGCCCTCACTCTGTCGATGCGCAAAACACATGAATCTTGTTGTCAGGCTGCTGTTTTGTTTGTGCGCCACTATATATTGGAGACTGGGTCGAAGCATTCACGGTAGCAACAAACCAAGAACCTGTAAATAAACAAACCAAGAGCCTGACCACAAAGGCACGTGGTTCCAAAGATATATATAGATCTCTTGAATAAAATGTAGCCCAAGATACATAAATAGTGAGAGACGGGAACATAGTTGTTTGGCTCGTTTTGCGGCAGAAAAAAGGATTGAGGCTTCCAAGAGAGTCTCCGAGAGGGCCGCTGAGAGGGTCGTGGAGAGGGTCAATGCACTTTATATATAAATAAATTTCCTTAGTAATCGATTGTTTTCGGATGAGGTCAATACAGTCATTCTATAAGCAGCAGGCTCTGCCATGCATCAGTTGGCTTGTAGCGTCTTGAGTCTTGACATTTTATAATTTCAGCGGTTTATATAACATTCTATAGGGAATTTTTGTGTGAAATGTATAGAGCACACATGTTTTATGAAATAACATCTGCAGCCCATACAATTCTTTTTCGATTTTTGCCGCCATGTGGCGCCTCCCAGCACGTGCTCTCCGATGCCGACCCAGGCAAAGACTGCAACTTGCATAGATGGAGATGTCTTTGGGGTCGGGGACACTGCATGGTCATGCAGTAAGCATTTTGCTCCCATTGGGACAATCTATATAGGAATTTTTGTGCGCAAAGTGAGATCGTCCTTTCGATGCCTGAAAGAACTTAGGCTCATGAGGAAGCATGTCCCAGTGACCTATTCAGTCGAAGTCCCCTTAGTGCACCTCGGCCAGTGTACGCATCGCCGGCACAAGGGACAATGATGAGCGGGAGTTGGGAGAGGGGCTTCTTTTCCAATCTTTTCCCCGCCCTGCTGTTTTGTTCTCCTTTCCTCTGGCTGTTGGGAGTCAGTGTTGCCTGTTGCCTTATTTTGTTTCTTTGCTTGGCCTTACGGCCTTAGTGCGCCCTGAATTTCCTGACTCGCCTATGGTAGAAGATTTGCGTTTTGCGAAGCTTTGCAAGGCTTCTTTTCCACCCGCTGGTTCCGACCCTTCGCGCGCAACGCTTTCCGTGCTGAACCCTTGCTAATTGCATATTCCGTACCTTGTGAAATGATTCAGCAATCAGTCATAAACGAATGTTTAGCTGAATCATTTCCATCAATCCTTTGGCCGGATGGGCGTCCATCTATCTGTCTATCTATCTATCTACCTATCTAGTTATCTAATTACTATATAATTATCTATCAATAAATCCATCAAGCTATAAATTTATATAGCGCAACCGTCAGGCGCAGGCTTAGTAGGATGCAGGCGGCGTGAGCAGGGCCCGGCGGGGGTGCGAGACAACACCCCCCCTGTGCGAGATGGGGGCCGGGCCTGATATTGCTTTACCAGAAGCATCACCGTCTCCTTCCAAGCCTTTGAAGGCAGATGACATAAGCACGTCTTATCATCTAGCAATGCTTCCAAGCCAGCCACACAAGTTGGTACACTCAGATAAAGCCGCAAAAATGATTGAACATGGATTCTTAACCATTTTCCAAGGCTTCAAAAGGCTGCAACCTAAAGTAGTTTAGGTTGCAACCTAAATCAGGTCATATAATTTCCGTAATTGTTCACCTATTGTTTTAGTAAGTCTAAGATGTTGCAGGTAAAGAGTAGTCTAGGAGTCTAGAACGAGCGCCGGGGCCACGCCGCCCGTGGTCACCTCAGTGTCGCCACACCGAAACACCCTGGCCCCTGGCCCTGGAGGTTTCAACGGGGCTGGGACCACAGACAGTCTCTAAAGTTGCCTTCGGAATCCCATAGACAGTGGCAGCGGCCAAGCCTGCGCAAGGAGGCAACCGGCACCGAAGGCACGCCACCTCAGCGCAGCGACTGCCAGTCTCGCTCTCCAGGAAGAGTAGTCTAGGACGAACGCCAGGTACCACCCTGAAGGTTTCAACAAGGCTGGGAGCGGCTGCTAACGTAGCCTTCGGAAGGCCATAGAAAGAGTAGTCTAGGGTAAGTGCCAGGTACAAGCCGCCCAGGGCCTGCACAAACAAGCCGCAGCCTCTCTACAAGGCCACAACCAAAAGCACCGAGGGCCACCACACTGCAGGTTTCAAGGGGGCTGGGAGCGACCGCTGCCAGTCTCTAACATTCCCTTCGGAGTCCCCTAGAAAGAGTGGTCTAGGACGAGCGCTAGGTACCTGCGAGCCACCTAACAAAGCGGTGTGATTGACAACTTAAAGATCTTAAAGGCTACACTTATCTACACTTCAAATGTCGTGAAGGGCTAATACATCAACCCCCACATATGCCTACTATGGTGGCAGCCCTGCTTGCCAATGTGCGCGCGCAGTGGCTTTAAGACGTGAAAAGTTAGCAGCAGTCGACTGGTCAAGAGTCAACAGTCTAGATATATACATACATGTTACAGTCCTGCCCTAAGGGTAAACTGCAAAGGGGTTCTCTCAGATGCCCGCCCACATTCACACATGCATGAACACACTTTAGGGTTTGTTGGTTCTTGCGTGCATCATGTTTAATCATGTAGGTTGTGCATGCCGGAAACGAACATGAGCTCAGCATGGCCGTCCAAGATTGCTCAGCAGCCTTGCTGGCTCTCAGTAAGCCCACGTGTTTGTGACGAAACCGCTTGAATTCCGAACTTTTTTGTTTTTTGCAAACCCGTTCCGCAACATGCTCGGAAAAAAATTGGTCCGAAGCGCCAATGGCGCGAATGGGAAGTGAGTGTCGAACAGTTTTTTGGTGTAGAGCGAGGTTGGATTCTGGCCCGTCAACTTTGTACTTGCTTCCCTCAACAAAAATAACTATATACCAATTCATCCATTAGGAGGTTATGAGATGAGGGTAGAAAGTCGGGACGGAACTTGTGCGATGGGGTTTGAAGTTTGGGAACCGGTTGAAGTAGAACCCACGGAGAGTTACAAGGCAATCCTGATTCATGAGTTTGGCCAATGGTTGGCCAGAGAGTCTAGATGAAACCACGGTGCCAGTGCAGTGACAAAGAAAATTTCATAGGTCAAAAGATTTCATAGAACCAAAACAACACGGCAAAATGTCCATGCATGTTCATGGGAGGGGCTGCGCTTGCTGAGGGTCTCTGGACTTCGATATTGCAGTTCCCAGTCTGAACGGGCAGTGTCTTGTCTGTTCAGTTCGTTGCACCTAGTTTGGACGACAAAGTGGTGTGGATTTGTTTGACAGATGCGATAAGCAATGCCCATGCCATGTAATCCTAAAAGCAACATATATATATATACACATTAACTATAAACTATATATATATACATCAGAACACACACACACATATATATATACATATTTATACAGCAATTGAAGTGGAGAGTGCAGAAGAAAACTGCATGACCATTGCGTGCGCTTAGGAAACGGGTGACTGGAGCAAAATCTGGGATGACGAGGTGAAGGAGTTGGAGGACGTAATCAGGCTTGTGGTGCGTGAAACTTCCCAGAAAAGTAGTCAACTGGCTGGCATAGAGCCTTTGAATGGGCGAGTTGCTGGGTGCCTGCGAGTATGGCCAAGCAGCGTCTCAACAGGCTAGAACTGGAACGTGCTCCCGATGGTCTTCCTGGAACAAGATCAAAAGAGGCATATGCAATTGCCTTCACTTGTAACGCACCTTGGACTCCCAACTTTAGCAGTCCTTCGCTGGCTCACCCACCCAAAACCTACCAAAAGATGGTTGCTTAGGACATTACTCCAACAGGTACGCTCCCTCCAACAAACAGTAACACGGAAGTGGGCAATCCATGACAAATCCCCTCGTTCCAGTTTGTCCTTTCCACTTCCATAATTGTTTCAGGGAGTTGCTCGGCAGTTTCACGTGTTGTTGAATTTACACTTGAGTCAGTTGCAAGTTGCCCAAAAGCCTGAGGTTTGTGACGGCCGGAGCGCCAAGAAGATCTCAAAGCGTGCCTCGTCTTGCATGTTTGATGCCAGACAAGCTTGATTTGTGATTCCTCGTGCTCTCAGCAAGGTCCACCTTGACTTACTCAACTGGCAAAAGCCTGAAGCTGTCAGACTTGGACTCGTTGTAGTCCAGGTGCTTACCATCATGGAGTCGTCGTTGTCACTTGCCCTCACTGCCAGAGCCTCGCTTGCAAGATGCAGCAAAGCAGGCACGTCATTGAGCTGATTTGTGCAGGGTTGCAATGTCATGGACTTCACGTTCTTCTTGTTGAGGAACCGTCACCTGATCGCAGATCGCCTTGGATGGCAACACTCTCAGGAAGTTGCTACTTTTGGCCAAATATTTCTTGTTGGCCGCAAAAAGGTTCAGTTGTGAGCCTTTGTCATTGTATGCCTCAAGCTTTGGACTGACATTGCTTCAAGGTTCGAGGAAGGAGGCACTGATATTGAGAAGCTCATGCAGCAAAAAGGAG